ACTATCCAGAAAAAGATAGACTTTACGAAACAGAGCCAAATGGAAACTATGGAGTTGACAAGTGCGATAACTGAAATGGAAAACTCATTAGAGGATCTCAGTAATAGTTTTTGACCTGACAGAAGAAAGCAATAATTGTATTAAAACTAATGGATATAAGTTATGCAGCCTGAAGAACAGAGGAAAAAGAATGATGAAAATGATCAGAATCTGAGTACACCAACCTAGCTCCATAGTTAGTCAATAATGGTGGATGCAGGGGAAATAACAAAATGTCTATTGGCATACTCTAAACTTTCCATGGAAGGAAACATCACTCTATAGCTAAGTGAAAGGAACCTCAACATTCTCTTTTATCTCAATACATAGGTCTTGTTTTTTAAATTAGAAAAGTGAGACTGTCCCTCAACAATTAAAAGTTTAATGAGAATGCAGCTGAACAGTTTCATATTTATTATAAGGTAAAAGTCTATTAAAATATTAGAAAATAGAGATAAATATTTTTAATATATCTGGGAAAGAAACACTTCCAATGGGAAAATTGTGTAGCATCAAATTTTTGCCAAATATTAGGAAAGCAACATTTAGTGCTAAATAGACCTCCAGTATAACCAATAGCTAAGGAAGCTATGAGTATATTTCTACAGGCTTTTCTGTGATTAGAGTCAAAAGTTCATTTTTCTCTTACTGTCTTTACCACTAAGACTTTTGGGGTATTGTTTTTAGTGTAACTATTCTCTATGATACTGGGTCCATGTAAAGCAAAATTACGGATATAAATATCCTGAGAAGGAAACTATATGTACTTATTAAAAGAAGACTTAAAGTGAAAACCATTTTAAAAAATACATGTCCTGTATCAACATCCTATTCATTTCCTTTCAGAATGGCTTGCCACCTCTTACTATAAAATAAGACAGAATACAGACAAGATACAAACAGAATTTTATACAGAATTTTGCTACCCACAAATTACAGACAGAACCCCTCTCTATACTGTATTCCCTGGGAAGTTATTTTCTCTTATTTTCATGAATGCCTGGGGACATGAACATTGAATGTTTTTATTAAGTTCCCGAGTTTACTTGTGGTTATTATTTATAAAGATATTAAAATGTTATTTTGAGAAGATACATTTCAGCAAATGGTACAGAAACAAGGAAAATAGATTATAAGAGCCGATTAGCCTTTAGTGAAGCCCAGCTAAACTAAATAAGTTGCAATAACATTTCCCTGTAGCCACATTTTGAAGTGTTGGGGAAAAGAACTATAATCATAGCAAAGCAAAACAACAGATTCAGAGTCCCAGTAAATGCTTTAGGAATATTGCTCCTGGATAAAATTATGCTGGCTACTAGGCTAATTTCAACATCTCTTCTAGTGTGATTATGATCATGATCTCTGATTTTAAATACAGCATTGCACTCTCACTTCTAATTTATTATTCTCAGTATTTACTATCACTAGTCTTAATTTGATGTCATCCAAATAAAAATCTCCCTTATTCAGAAAATCCAAAGCAAATTAATTTTCATTTAGATAAAATTTTATTTAAAGATCATTATTTTCAGTTTTGAATTTTCACACGGGATAAAAATAAAAGTAACAGCAACAGTGAAAACAGTGTCAATATAAATGTAATTCTGTGAATAATGTAAAAAGAATCTGAGTTCATATAGGGTATAACAAGATGCTATAAAGAGCAAGCCACAGGGTCAGACTTACCTGAAGTTTAAATCTCTGTTTTACTATTTATCTACGCTGAGAACTGGGACAAGTTATTTAACATCTCCCATTCATGAGTTTCTTAATTTAAAATGTGCTAATGATATCTACATTACTGGCTTGTTGTGGGGATTTATTCATTCTATAAATATTTATTAGGAGTCTATTATATGCCTAGTACAGTTCTAGCTAATGGGCATATAAAAACAAGTAAATGTAGATCTCAAAGAGTATATAGTCCAGAGCACCAAGAAATAAAATGTAAACAAATCTATGAAATAGCAACTATGATTGATATACACAAAGGGTTCAGTAGGTCCATCAGGGAGGGTTCTTTCCTTCTAAAATAGCTTTTCAGAATAAATGACATGTCATCCACAAGAAATTAAGTGGGCTACAAATAGAAACCTGCTGAATCATAGTTGTGCTTGTAAATGACAGTGTTCTTATTGTACAACTTCAAGGTTTTACAAGGGGATGGAGTTGGGATCATGCTGAGATTGTAACCTTAAATTCAGGCTAGAGCATGGGAATGGGTGGAGCATGCAGAAAGAGGACTTGATGCCGAGATTCACATAAGGACTGTCAAGAAGAAAGAGGGATGCAGAAACTTACACCTTATCACAAAGCAAAGGGAGTAAGAAAGAAGGAACATCAAAGGGAAGGTTCGAAAACTAAGGACAAGTAACAAGGTTCAGAGCATGGACATCGCCCCACGTCCCACACACATACCCCTTGAAATATTACTAAAGTAGGCAAAAAGTACAAGTGTGGATAGGCAACAAACATGGTATAGAAAATTATTGCCACCATAAATCTCCTATGAATAAATGTGCAACAGTCATGCCTCTGAGGAAGAAAAATCCAAGATACTGCTTTTAAATAAATCTTAACTTTTGGCTGCCTTAACAGTGAAATTAATCTTTATGCTGTGCTCCTTTATTTAGGTCAGCTTTTTGCATCATCACAGATAAGTTGGGGAGAATATAGAGAGATTGCAAAGACTTCTTTCATTTAGCATTTTTATGTATTAGGCCAACAAATTTGGATCATTTCCCCTTGTAAAGAGAGGTAAACATCTTGTTTTTCAAATCATCTAGCAAAAGGATTTTGATGTAAATGATAATTATCTTTGCAAAGCCTGAGAGCAAAGTGAGAGAGGTCAGTGAGAAAACCTGTAGTAATTTATATCTCCGCCTTAGTTTTCAAAAGCCATATGTGTAATTGATGATTCATGTAGGAAAGGACAAAAGATTGAGTCAATAACTCACTGTCCAAAGCCCAGACTTTGTAAATGACTGTCTTTTTTTCTTTTCTCTTTTTTTTTGCATGCTTAAAAATACTCTTGACAGTTTGGATCAACAATCACACATAAATTTTTATTAGAATTGTCTTTTACTCTAATGTTCAACAAGTAGATCCAAGTCTGTATTAAGTAATTTAGTCACAGAGAAAGTCTAAACAAGTAGGTTCTAATAAAAGTAAGATTAAATAGCTACAGATTAAATAAAGGATAGATAATACATGTATGCATGCATACATATATGTATGTAAATATGTTTTCAAAACAAGGCTAGGTTCACAGGTGTTATGTGTAGAGATGCCCTCAGCTCAGTCCTCTTAGTAGTGGTTTAATGGTTTGCTCAGGTAAAACTGCAACACTTCAGTGAAAATTTTGAAACAGCTTTCCTCATTAAAGCTCCAAATGTTACTAGTTTTTATTGTTTTGGTGCTGGTGGCACATTTTTTCTTTTCCAAAGAGATACATTTGAGTTATTGTCTAGGCACTAAACCACATCTGGCTCTTTGCGACCCCATGGTCTGTAGCCCACCAGGCTCCTCTGTCCACGGGATTCTCTAGGCAAGAATACTGGAGTAGGCTTCCATTTCCTTCTCCATATTGGTGAGTTATTTAGTGGCTAATTTCCTTTAGATAATTTGCTTTTTTGTGTTTATTTTTGTTTTCCTTCTTTGACTTGCATATAGCATTTTGCTTCCCCTGGTGGCTCAGATGGTAAAGAATCCACCCATAATGCAGGAGACCTGGGTTTGATCCCTAGGTTGGGAAGATCCCCTGGAAAAGGGAACAGCTACCCACTCCAGTATTCTGCCCTGGAGAATTCCATGGACAGAGGAGCATGGCAGGCTACATTCCATGGAGTCGCCAAGTGTCAGACAGGACAGAACAACTTTCACTTTCACTTTTCACAGCCTTGAGAGTGGAAGCATTTTAGGGTCAATGCACTCTGTGGTTAGCATGTTTGTTTGTTTGTTTGTTTTTAATTATGAGGAGATTTTAATGAACCCCTTATGCCTTGACCCTCCTCCAAAAAATCTTAGCTATAAATAGTACCTTCTTTTGACAACTCTTTGCAGATCTTAGGAATTTAATTCTTTTGTTGTATTGCTTTTGTATAAAACAAAATTAATTTTGTTACTTAAATTTATGCTCCAATTATCATTATTTTTAAGTTCTCAGCTTTACTCTGACTTGCAATGTTAAATGAGATCTAAAAAGAATCAGTTTGTCTTTAGTCCCAACTTGTCTAATAGATGGGGTTCCCTTGTGGCTCAGTTGGCAAAGAATACACCTGCATTAAAGAAGACAAGGGTTTGATTCCTGGGTAGGGAAGATCTGCTGGAGAAGGGATAGGCTACCTGCTACAGTATTCCCTGGCTTCCCTTGTGGCTCAGCTGGTAAAGAATCCACCTACAATGCAGGAGACCTGGGTTTGATCCCTGAGTTGGGAAGATCCCCTGGAGGAGGGGATGGCTACCCACTCCACTATTCTGGCCTGGAGAATTCCATGGGTTGTCCATGGGCTCACAAAGAGTCGGACACAACTGAGCAACTTTCTGCTCTTAAATTACTTTTAGACCCTCAAATAAAAGATTTCCATCATAAACGTTGACAAAAGTGAAGCATTTTGAAGTTGGATCTTTATTCTCCAAAAAAGCTATAGTATCTTTTTCAGTAATAAAGCTTAGATTTTATTTATGTGAGTGTAGTCTAATCTTTGAATTTTAATTAATATTCTTTATAATAAATGAGCATTTGATATATAAGTTAGCTGAAAACTTCACACAAGTAAGTAATTTCAACTGCTGCTCCCTTTTCATGTCAACTTTATTCCACATTAATTTGGACATATAGATTTCTTTTCCTTAAGAAATATAGAATATTAGAATTCATATTTTTGAAAGTACCGTGCCCTTGGTCCACCAGCTTTGACTACTCAATGCTTTCTTCTTCATATTTGACTTAAAACATCATCTTTAAGAGTTTTAGCATGTTTCTTTTATTTTTGCCAATAGGAAATAGCATCTGCATGGTGGCTATTTTAGGTTTAACTCTAACTTGGTGTTTTCTACCAATATAAATTCTAAACAGCTAGGACTTGAAAGTGGATAGCCTAGGAAAAAGATTCTAAGCCAGAAACTGACAATAAGTCCGGTCATACTAATCAAGGTTGGATGAATGGGCAGAAATTACTGCCTGAGAAGGCCATAGGATCTCGTCTATCTTCAGGAATCTCAAGGTCTTAGGCGTGGTGTGTCTTGTGGAGCTGTTAGTGCTGGAGCTATGAACAGATATTTTCAAGGTTCCTGGGTTAGAAAACACTCTTTAGCCCCGAATGAAATTATCTTTGCCTTGGCATAGTTGTCCCAAAAGTGCATTGTGAAAGTGAAGAGGTTGTTTTGAAATACCCTTGTTTCAAGGACTCTGCACTCTAAGCAAATCTTACAAACCACCACAATTATCTGGGGAGCTCCATTGCTTTGACCCATTTAGACCTTGCGTTCTTTCAGAACCAGTCGTTTTGATTTTTCTCTCTTCTATAAGAACTGAGGTCTAGTTGCATGAGATTCTTGATAGGTATTTCATGTTCAGTTTCAATGCAAAGAGTTTCAATGCTAGTAAAAGCAAATGAGAAGAAATATTTTTTCAGTGAGAGGTTAGATGTCTTTCTTATTGTGTTATATAAGTAATCGTCTACAGTGCTTCTAATTTCTGTCTAGAGAGTAAGTCGAATGCCGTACTTGTACCCAGTAAGAGTCACACACTATGAGAAAATAAATCATCCTATGCCTCTGTTGCTAGTTGATTCCTTTTCCACTGTCCTCTTCCAAAACAAAACAAAATGCTGCTGCTAACCTACCTTTTAACAGGTAGAGGGCGCCCTCCTGTGGGCAAGTAGCTAAAACGGTATCCATGGCAACCAACAACTCCAAACCCTGACATCAAACACTGGCTTAGAAATCCCAAAGTTCTATTAGAAAAAGAAAAGAGAAAATGGAAGAAGGTCTAGGAAAGAGAAAAATGAGTCTGGAAAAGAATGGTGAGAGGGACTTTAAAAAACTCAGTAGAATAATTGCTAGAAAGAAGGATGAAACAGGACCAGAAATATGTATGTCAACTAGATAAAAGTTCATGCTACCCTGTCATATTTCCTCACATGAACTCAGAAGGAAATGTTCTCATTTTTATCACTGGTGATATAATCATTGTACTCATTTTACTAGTAAGACTGAGACACTAAAAGTAATAGCAGTTTCTATTTGAAAATGTCATAACAACTGATAATTATTATAATCCTACTATGTATCAGGCACTGGGCTCAAAAGTGGCTTGATATATCTTTAAATCCTTTTGACAAGCTAATAGTATGTAGCAAGTAGAAAGAGTGATAACAAAGGAGCATGTTTGGTATATTTGATATCTAGTAAGGAGATCTGTGATTAGGAGAAAAAAACAGATGTATACCTGGGAAATAAAGTTACAGAAAAACCAAGTATTTAAAACAAGTAGGTTTTATAGGGCATTGTAAGGTGTTTACTTATCTGAGTAACTGTAAAATATGTGAAAGGTTGTATGAAGAGAAGGGACATGATATGATATACATTTATAAAAGAATTTATCCTCTGATATGTGAAGAATAGATTGTAGGGGTCAAATGCAGAAACCTGGGTATCACTTGGAAGAATGCTGAAAAAATCTTAATGAATGTTGATGGTACCCTGGACGTGAATAATTTTGGTTGGTGTAGGTGGAGAGAAAGGATAATTTCTAGATGTATTTTCAAGGTATATACAACAAGACATGCTAATGGATTAGATGTGAAGTATGAGAAAAAAAGAAGAGAATCGTATCAAAGTTGTGGGCTGGAGGCCTTTAAAAATGGAGTTTTCATTTACTAAGATGGGGAAGACAATGTGAACAACAGGTTTAAGGAAACAGTTGTTCACTTTTTTGACATATTAGTCTTTCTGTAATCCCCTGCAGCGCTCAGTCATGTCTGACTCTTTGTGACCCCATGAACTGTCGCCTGCCAGGCTCCTCTGTCCATGGGATTTTTCAGGCAAGGACACTGGAGTGGGTTGCCATTTCCTCCTCCAGGGCATTTTCCCGACCTAGGGATTGAACTCACGTTTTCTGCAGTGGCAGTTGGATTCTTTCCCACTGTGCCACTTGGGAAGCCCTCTTTTGCCATATTTAACTAGTTCTCTCTTACACATCTGCCTTAGTATGGGATGTCCAGAGATCAGAGCCTGAAGCTGGTATTTGTATGTTCATATGTTGTTAGGGAATACAGTGATTGAGAAGCAAATATGAGGGAGAGAGAGGTAGGAAGGAGCAACATGTATCAGGTGCATAACCGAGTTGGCCACCTACTGGATCAAGCGTAAGCAATAGCTCAGTTGTACAGAATTTCCAACAGGTCATATATAATGAAACACGAGAGACAGGAAGTCCAGGAGGAGGAGGAAAGGTAAGGAATTTATCCACCAAAACCCTGCCTCCCATCACACTGAGGACAGTAAATGTTCTGCATGTTCATAGTTCATGTTTAGAGGCATTACAACCACGCTGGTTTATACTTTAGTGTCAGTAGGGAGCTCAAGATGGAAAACAAAGCATATCCCAAAAGGCAAATGCCAGAGTGCTATCTAGTTTTTCTGAGTGCAGTCTGTTGCCTCAGCCAGTGGCTGAATTAAGATTAAATTTATTCCGTAACCAAGGCAAGACAGTCAGCCAAGGCTCTTCAGTATTCTTGCCTGGAGAATTCCATAGACAGCGGAGCCGGGCAGGCCATGGTCCATGGGGTTGCAGAGTTGGACATGACCGAAGCGACTAAGCACGCACTGTATACAGGTAAGAGGATGACATGACATGAAATGAAACACGAAAGGCATTTATGTAATGTTCAATTGTAGATATTAGGCAATTAGAAATATAAGTGTGGGGAGATAGGGCTATGTATAAGAGTTAAAGATAGATTTGACTACATAAACTCTAGTCATTTCTCTGTGGTTAGTGCAAAGTCAGAAAACAAACGAGAATGAGAAAAATATTTTCAACAGAAAAGGCAAAGTTTTCATATATAAAGAGACCATATGAATTAATTGAAAATGCCACCAGTAGGAAAAAACTGGTGAAAATAAAAAATAAATACAATTTGAAAATAAGCATATGAAAAAGATTCATTCTATGCCCTCCTGAGAGGATGTGTGATGTCACCACTCTCAGTATTCGAACCAGACATCATGAGTTACTTAAATGTTAGATTTTAGATGAAGGGGACTGTGTGCTTTTATATTTTAAGTAGTGAATAAAATACTACATGAAAAAAGCAATGAATTATGATAAATTACTAGGTGTGTGGAAAGCTACTTTCTTAAAAAAGCAAATTCCTAGCTCATGCTGTAATATATTTTAAAGTAATTGAATATGTCTCAGTAGCCTTAAGAGTTGTGTGTATGTATGTGTGTGTGTGTGTGTGTGTGTGTGTTTTATTTTTGATTCCTGAATTCTCAGAAAGGCTTTTAATTTTGATCCTGAGAGATTTAAGCTTGAAAGACAGCTAGATAATGGCATTTTTATTGCCAATTCATTTTTCTCTTTGTTTCAAACTTAAATATATGTAACTTGGTCAAAACCACATTTTAAAATTGCAAACATAGAGAAATTCAGCTCAGTTTAGTTCAATATTTATTAAGCATATGATGTTTTTGGTTTAAAATATGTTAACATTGCTGCCAAAAATTCTGTTTTAACTTTGGCCTTTGCTATATAGCTAAGACACTGCCTAATAAATTACTTCACTTTCTATACTTCAGTTTCCTCATCTTTAAACTCGAGATAATAGTACTACCTATCCTAATACCTGGCACAAAGTAAATGATGTGAAATCTTATAGATTTTGAATATTTAAGGATAATGTATATACTATAAGCCTAGCATAATGCTCATAAAATAATAACTTACTATAGTTTTCTGACTTGGGGATGGACCCTATACCACCTGAATTACAGCTATTTTATTGGAATACAGAATACGGCTACCTAGAGTTTCTTTCCTTGGAGTAGTTTTAGAAACTCAAATTTTAAAACTCTGTCTCCATCCAAATGTTGAATTGCTAAGAGTGATGTCATATAGAGTCTAAGTTAAAGAATACTCTAATACTGAATAGGTGTTTTTAGTGAGGTACACTAGCTTTTCTCCTTCTCCCCTTTTTTCCTTCTCCACTTCCATTTTCTAAAATTTGGCTACTGGCTTTAAGGAAACCAATCCTTACCTACTCACTTGTTTGTGTAGTGGGGGAACTGGAAAATAATTGAGGCATTGAATCTGTAAAGCTGTGTACTCATTATAAATAGAAACTTAGTCTACACTGGCCTGCCAGAACAAATTCATTGTATATGGTGATTCATATGTGTTCATTTTTATTTGTTTTACTGCTTTGGATATCTTCAAGAGAAGGAAATCTTCCTTGACTCGGAGACAAAGTGTCAGAAAATATGAAAGGATTATTTTGAGTGCCTCATGGTATATAATTCAAATATTCATTTCTCCTAATTTATAGAGTCCAATTAAATAGAAATAACAATAATTTAGGGAATGGAAGGAGAGTATTCTTGTATGCTGACATTCTAACTTGAGAACATGGAACCTGAGTATTAAATGAGGAGATAAGAATGTGTTTGGTTTATATATGCAGTAAGAAGCAAGTATATTAATAAATGGTCAATATAGGGCACTGAAGATTATTTGGGGTCTTGAATAATGCAGCCTACTTTGGATTAATGAGAAATATCAAAGTACCAACATGGAGATGTCACCCATTATTGGGAATATAAAAAAATACCACAGAAGAGCATGCTTTGAGGGAATTGTAAGGGTTAATATATACAAATCTAGAAGAGAGAGTGAGATGAGGGGACTCCCCACTTAGTAGTACACTAAAGAGATCTACCTTTCATGACTTTCTGAACCAAGTCAGAAAGGATTTCAGAGAAGATGATGTTCTCATAACTTCATGAGTAGGACCAGTAAAAAGAAAAATTTTATTGTTACTGTTTCTCTACTGAAAATTAATTTTGAAGTGTCCTGTTAAGTGTGAATCACTTTTAAAAAATCACAGCTTTTCTCATCTTCAGCATTTTACCTTTCTACCTTTATTTTTAAATAGTAAAGTAGTATTCTTTCTGAATTATTAAACTTTAAAATGAAACAATATTTGGGGATGGAAAAATTGAGAAGTTTCCCTCTCATGAGTGGATAAATCAAGAATTACTATTTTGGTCACAAAATTAAGTCACCAGATTTTTAAACTTTGCTAAAAAAAGAACTCATCCTTTCCTTAGGCAGGTGGTGGGAGTGGGGAGAAAATGTTGGATTCAAAATTCAAATAATTTGAGACATAGAGACTCCCAACTGACTATGGTTATTCTTTCTTTTTCAAAACCTTATCTCGTGAGTTAGAATAATTAGCCAAGTGAGTGTTTACCCACGTTTGGATTCCTGACCAACTGTGATGAGTCAAATGATATCATAGAAATATTGACTAGATGCTTAGAGAGCACAATATAGTTTGTGCTCATTCATCTAAGACATTTATTCAAAGGCTTTGGTCAGAGTCACTTTATCTTTAAAAAAAGAAAAGCCTCCTTAAAATGTGCTGCTGCTTTCTCTTTCATGGTGAGAGAGGAATTGTTGCCCAAATCATATGAATTTCTAAACACAATCACTTGTTGAAATACCCATTGTTTAGAATCAGAATGATAAACTTTGATGAGTGATGATGTTATAAAGTTAATACATAATTATTTAATTCTACTTCTACATCACTTCCTAAGAGGTGTATCATCTTGGATTTAGGACCTATGCATAAATGGACACTTCAGTGGAATGATGAATAGCAT